GCTTTTAATTTTTTATACGTAGTCATTTTTATTTATTTTTATAAATCTTTTATGATTATTAAAAATATGTTATATTTCGGGCTACATTTCATTTATAAATAAGCCAGATAATAGACTGAAGAGGGGATATCTGCTGATATGTGGGATTCGATTCCCCGTAGAGTAATTGTGTGATTTTGCGCTAAAAATCGTCCAGTCAACGGGAATGAATTAACCTGTTCATTGTCAAGTAAGAGTAATTTTTCAGAGGTACTGACTTTAATCGTAGAGATATTACCTTATAACTAGCGAATTAGCATTCTAAGAAATTTTGTCAAATGCAAAATTTTATTGTATATCTGTCATCGAAGGATTATAACTCTAAAATTTGAAGATCAATCCCTGCTATTAGTACAGCACAAATAGCTTATTGTGCAGCAAAACAAATAAACATACCTGTTTCTCAGAGACTCAATTCAGAAATAATATTCAAAATTTTAAATTTATATAAAAATAAGGGAGTTTTACGTAGTTATACGTAGCATGATTCAGTAACGAAAGGTCACTAGAAAGTTTATACTTAGTAGCTATATAAAGCAGAACTAGTACATGCAAGCTGACAAACACATTCGTGAATCAGCTTTTTAACAACTAAAGAAAATTTTCAACGTCTTAAATTTCTTCGCAAGGTGAAATATGCCAAAATGCTAGTTTCTATTTTTCTTTTTGCTCTCTTTCACATTTTAGTTATTCCAGCTAAGTCGTAATGAAGATTTTATCGTGAGTGCTCGAATGCTTTTTAATTTTAGTGAATTTATTTGAGATAGCAGAAAGCTACCTGTTTGGACTCAGAGACTGTCATTGTTCATACTTGTCAAAATATAATGTGGGCTATTTGTGTTGTGCTCACCTCTAGTATAGTTTGTTGTCAAACGTCTTAAATCGAGCCTTGGAGGATAGCTTCAACTTCATCTTCAAGGAAGAGAAATTCCCAAGTATTTCAACTGTTAAACACGAAGTTTGAAATTAGACCTATTTTTAAACTTTTCTGCGAAAAAACTTCTTGATTTCAAATTATCTATTTGAGCCTCACCCCAAAATAAGAAATAAAAAATAGCAAGTTAACTTGTAGTTTCAGTAATTACGAATACTTAATAAAACTATGTAATAAAAATAACATAACCGTTATGAACATGCAGTTGAATACATTTGTTTTCTCTTACAAACAAAGCTTATTTTTCAACCTGAAAATTTCAAAATATTGGTGAATATTCACAAACATGGTCACTACTTGGAAGGGTATCAATATTCTATTTACCCTTTTATTTATTTAGTTTTATGAACTAAACAAAGTGTCGCCGCCTAGTGGTTACACTAATTGGATTTGAAGAGTGACTGCTAGTTATTACAGGAACTTAATGAATTCACTGAAGCTGTTCCGTAAATATAATTAAATGGCTCATATTTGTCAAAAGTCGCGAGAACGACTAAAAATAGACCATTTAATTCATTGGCATGTTTGGCATAACAACTTTAAAGAACTGGATGAGGAATTGACAAAGAATGAGGTAGGCTTTCATGGACTTTTAATTGTATCTGTAACTTGTAAGTGTAAAGTTGTACTGTACTGTAGTTCGACTCGTCGTGTCAACCACTATCACGATATATGATATATCATATACATGCTAATATAGTACTAGTGAGCAGAAGTAAGAAGGATTAACCCCTTACTTGTGATACTGATAGGTTGAATTTGAGTTGGACTTGGCCTTTTGTTTCACCAGTAATTTTATTCGTGTAAAATTCTGAAAATTTAACTGAAAGTGTAAATGTAATAATGACATGAGGCTTAATTTTAGGCTAGAGTAGGATTACTACTACTACTCCGATTAGCATGTAGAACTAGAAGAAAATCCAGGAATGCCCTTGGAAGTTTTTGAATTGTGTTCCACCGATATTGCGATGAAGACCTATTAAGCCAATTTCTAACATAAAGGAAAAGAAAATATATCCTCTCAATACAGGGATTAGGTAAATAAAGCTTACTAGTTAAGTTGAGAATAATAAATACAAATTATAAAAAATTGGCAGCTGTACTGGGAAGATGAAGGCTAACAGTAGCACCATGAAAACAGCTTTATGTTCAAAACATTTTGTTTTATTTTTTTCAAGGAAAAGAAAGAAGGTCAAATATTTCTTAACTTACGATTTAATAAAACTAAGAAGGTGAGCATTGTGACAGAAGTTACAGACAAGGAACTATTTAGTTGAACGAAGAGGCTGTCCCTATACACAACCCTTCACAAAAAGAAAGATTCAAACCTTCTTTTAATTTGCCAAAAAATCATCAATTTCCCTCTTACACTTGAAGAATGTTCTCCATTAAAGCTAATTGGAACTAATTCCATAAGCCAAGCACTCTGTTAGAAAAATAACTGAATTCTAACCTGCTTTCCAAATCTAAAACTCAAATCCGTTCACCCTGTTGTCTTTATAAGCACAAAGAAATCAGAGGCTTTTAATTTTATTCTGTTCCTATTAATCTCTCACGTAATTATTATTTTTTATGCTACAATAAGATAACATTCTTTTCTCAAAATTTGTTTGTTGGTGATGGTGGTGCATGGCCATTTTTAATCAAAATATTTATCAAGCTTTCCCTTAAATATACTGCATCCACGACATCTGAATGGAACCTATTCCAAAAGTCAACTACCCTGTTAGAAAAATAAAACTGTCTTATTGAATACGACTTCTAAACTGACAACATTTATATTTGTGTCTATTAAGTATGAAAACAAAAAAGATGCATCAATGCTGTCTATTCCCTTAAAAAGTCTTAAACACCTCGATCAGATCCCCTCTAACTCTTCTATTTTCAAGGGAAAACAATTTCAGAGATTTTAACCTGTCCTTTTACGACAACCTTTCCATTCCAAATATCATTCTCTTAGCTCTCCTCTAAACTCTTTTCAACAATTCAATGTCCTTTTTTAAGCTCTTCGTTTTTTTTTTCATGCTCCATTCCAATGAATTCAAAAATACATAATCATTCTTAAACTAACTAAAAATTGGTGATATTATTTCCAGTATGATATAGGAAAGAGAGATCCCAGGGGTCGAACACCTCTTATGCTAGCTGTTACTTTGGGTCACCTGGAGTCTACAAGAGTTCTGTTGAGACACAATGCTGACATAAGTGTGGAGGATAAGGATGGTTTCACAGGTAAATATTCATTCGTGTATGATATTAGCAATATTCCTGACCCTAAACATTCTTTGGGAAATATTGGAATTGACCCAAATCATGTGGGAATTAATCTCTTGGTGGTAAGTAGAAAGATTGAGAGATTAAAAATAGATAAATTGCCATGATCAGACAATGTTTTATCCAGTGTTTTAAAGATGATCAAAAATCAGATATGCAAGTCTCCTTTCATTTTTTGTGAGAACAGGAGACAGTGGGCAGGCATCTGAGGATATTAAAGTTGTTGATGGTACTCCTATTTTTAAATGGGGTAATATCTGAGGATTTTAAAGTTGTTGATGGTACTCCTATTTTTAAATGGGGTAATATCTGAGGATTTTAAAGTTGTTGATGGTACTCCTATTTTTAAATGGGGTAATTACAGTTGTCCTAAAAATTATAGCCGTGTTAATCTTACTTATGTAGTGGGAAAAATTCTAGAATCTTATAAAATAAGCTTTCCAAAATCATTTAGTGAAATATTATAAAAGAAAGCCAAGGTGGATTCCTCTTAACATTTTTGTTACTTAGATCATGAAAAAGATGTATACTTGGTGCACTTAGATTTTTAAAAATATTTTGATAAGGTGCCACACAAAAGATTAGATAAGAAAACCATTTTGGTAGGTGTTGGGGAAAATCTGGTTAATTCAGTTGTCATGTGGTTGGATGAAAGAATACAAAGGGTTGTTATTAATAAGGTCCAGTCAAATGGGACCTTGTTACTAGTGGAATGTCTTAGGGGGTCTGTGCTTGGGCATTTTCTTTTTCTTATATATAATAATGATATTAATAGGAGCATAATTAGAAAATGAAGCTAAATCTTGGGTATTTCTGACAGTATTGAGGATATTGAGTAAGTGTTACATACCATTATTTCTAAGTTTAGCCGTGATATTTAACATTAACTTCCGGTCAGAGCCACCTCCCTGATTAGATCAAAACTAAAAATCAACTTAGTAATGAGTATAGCTAGCTTAATATACTTTTCTTATATTCTTACTATAATGGATGTAGTGTGTATATATGTATTCATGTATATGGCTGAAATAATAAACACAATGTGGCGCCATCTATCGATAACACCACAAACAAAAAATCTATAAAACATTTCACATTTTTGGTATTCAAGATTCAGACAGAAAAATAACTACAGTATGTGGTATGTGTAACAACCATTTCCTTATCACAGAACCCAATTTTAAATAAAAGTACTCTCTTCACAACAAGAGCCATGACTTTTGCTAGGATTATACATGAAAGTTTGATTATATCTTTATTGATGTAACAAGTAAATAAATTTACTACTGAAAAATGGAATTCTTAAAACCGTTTTTTTTTATTTTTCAATAAAGGGTACCAGTTTTAATATATAAAAACATTACAGTTTATATCAGCACAATCTGAAAACTTTTCCTGTGCAGTACTTCCCCAAAAAATCCTTTTTTAGAAAATGTTCCATTTTTCTAAATTTTTTTCAATGAGGTATGAATAATATAATTAGTAATTAGTAGCACAAACAGGTGTCTGTAGGATGGTTGTTTTTGCTCGTATTTATAAAGCTTAGAATGCATTGTTTCATCAGTTGGATAACTTTGCTGTTAACAGAAGTTTTGGCCATAAACCTAATTATATCATACAAAGCTCAACCAGCTAAGGAGATTTAGATTTGTCCAAATCCATATATTTAGCTGATAATGCAAAGCAGTCTTTATAATAAAAGTATCGTAATAAATCTATGTATATTAAACATTCTAACCAATACTGTTAATAGAGCTCAGTGATTAAATCAATTAATTGCTGTAAATGATTACTTATGAGTAAATTATAATTAAATTGACTAATGTCAAGAAAATATTCAACTAATTGAAATTAGTGTTTCTGATTATTTGAATTATCTAATAAAATGTTTCTATTAGACTAGTAACTCTGTTCTCTTTATAATTTTTAATTAAATCAAGTTTGTTGAGCTTCATCTTTTAGTGTCACAACTTATGAAAATAATCAAGTAATTGAAATTAGGTTTTTCCAGTTATTACTATTTTCAATTACTTCATTTTATAGCTATTTTGTAAAACAAATTTGTTCAGGTTTGGGGACAGCATGGCCCAGTGATTTCAGGGGATTGCTTCATGATTTAAAGTTCTCGGGTTTAATTCCCTTTGCCGTTAAACTTGATTGTCCTGTCTTCATGATGGCAGAGCTGCTTAGTATATTTGCCATTGCTTCTAATATTGAACTACTTACAAGAGGGAAGACAACTGGCTGGCAGCACCCACCGTTAACTACTGGCTTAATTCTTTAGTTTCTTTTATTTTCTCCTATTGGGCAACATGTACCACAGAACTCTGTATTAATAGATTAATTGGTTAATAAATACCACAAATTATCCAGATCTAACTGTTTAATGAAAGTAGCATCAAAGAAGTAATGTACCTTATTTACTGTCGTTTGTTAAAGTATGATAGTATTCACTTTATTTGTTGATGGAGGGCCAAAGTAGTGAAGCCTATCTTCACGATTACAGATTTACTACAATATAGTCCTTCTAACTGAACAATTGTGTATTAGACTCGTTTCCCGCGTCGTTCACTCCTAACTTTCACTTTGTACTGACCACAATATACTTCCTTGAGAATCATTACCTAGTTTCTGTCATAAGCACTTGTAAAGGTATATAAAGTTTTTTTTTTCTTCACAAGTTCTAATTGCATACACTCACCTAATGTTAAATCTGTGTTTTCTATGCTACTTTAGGACATCTGTAATTCTATGTACCTTCTAGGTTTGTGCACTGTGGTCTTAAGCTTACGTGACTTGTTACGTAATTATGATTTTTATGGTTAATTAAGGTCAGACATGAAATATACATTATTTATCGTCTAATCATTACGATCATGTTCTTTAGTTATACATGAAGCAGTGAGTACGGGATACCCAGAGCTGGTCCAGGAGATCCTAGGGCATCGAGACTTTCAGCGGTATAACAGCAGAGTAGGGGGAATCCCTCAACTTCTCAAACAGATACAGGATGTGAGTTATTTAAGATATTATCTCACATGTATCTGTTGTTAGGTAGATCACATGTATACAGTCTATAGTATCTGTTGTTAGATAGATCACATGTATACAGTCTATAGTATCTGTTGTTAGGTAGATCACATGTATACAGTCTATAGTATCTGTTGTTAGATAGATCACATGTATACAGTCTATAGTATCTGTTGTTAGGTAGATCACATGTATACAGTCTGTAGTATCTATTGTTAGATAGATCACATGTATACAGTCTATAGTATCTATTGTTAGATAGATCACATGTATACAGTCTATAGTATCTATTGTTAGATAGATCACAGGTATACAGTCTATAGTATCTATTGTT